AATTTTAAACAAAATTTAGCAAAATTTAAAAATTTTAATGTAAAAAAATTATTATTAGAAATTACAATAAATTAAATTATTAATTATAATTTTATTATAAAATATAAAAATCTATTTCTTAATAAGAGGAAAATAATTAGAGATATTATAAATATTCCAAAAATAAAATACAGAGCTAAACAGAAAAATCTACTTAAAAACATTATTTTTATAATATTTAAGAACATTAATTACTAGAATTTTTTCAAATATAACTAAATGAATAACTGACCATCTATAATTCCTACTATATATATTTTTAAGTATATCTTTTAAATACAAATATTCAGTTTAAATAATGAATATTAAATAATTTTTCTGTGATATCTATCTCTTCATAAAACCAAATATATAAATTAATATTTGATAATTAATTAATTATTATATTTATTTGTTCTTTTTATCCATTTATAATTAATTAATTAAATTTCATAAATTGCTAAACAATATTTTTGAAAAAATAAATAAATGATGTAATAGATTAAAAGATATAATAGATTAGAAGAAGTAATTATTAATTTTTCTATTAATATCCTTTAAATTTATATAAATTAATAAAAAAAGTTTATAAGCTCTTCTCTTTTATCTCATTAGATTCTCCATATTGATCTCGGGTATATTTTATTAATAAATATTATTTTTATTATTATTATTATTTTTATATTTAAATTTCTATTTATTTAAATAAATAATTTTTATTATAGAAATTATCATCATTATTTATTGATTTGTTTTTTTTTCATTATTTGTTAATTTTATTAATTATAATAAATCTTATTATTTCATGTTTTTTCTTCATTTTTTCCTTATAATTAACTATAGTGCAATGCCTATTTAATTTATAAAAGGCAAAATATAATATTTCTTAATAACATAATAATTAAGCTAAATTAGTTTAAAATAGCTTTATTTTTGAGTTTTTAGAAAGCTTTAAATTCACAAAATGTAAAATTTGAAATAATATATGCATACCGTATATTCTTATAACTTATCATTTTTTTTTTAAATAAATTTTGAAAAATTTACGAATATTTTAATTTTATAAAATGTAAAACTGGTATATAAAACTCACTTTTTTTTTGAAAATTTATTTGTATGGCAACTTATTCTATTTAATGATTTATTTTTTCTTCAATATTTAAAAAGGGCGAATAACATTGGTGATGAAGGTGCATCAGACTTAGGTTCTGCTTTAGCAAAGTGCATTAATCTCACAAATTTGACACTTGACCTTTAGTAAAAATAGTTTATTTGTTTTGGATTGTGATATTTTTAATTATAAAAACTAATTAAAAACAATAAAGCTCTTTTTTCTTTTCTTTTTATTGTTCCTGCTTTTTTTTGTTCTTTCTTTCTTTGTTAATTTAGCTCATCATTTTTTTTTCAACTTTTGCTTTTATTGTTAATTCATCTTATTATTTCATATTTTTTCTTCATTTTATCCTTCTAATTAACTATTTAATGATATATTTTTTCTTCATTATTTAAAAAGGTCTAATTAAATTGGTGCAATCGGTACATCAGGCTTAGGTTCTGCTTTAGCAAAGTGCATTAATCTCACAAATTTGACACTTGACCTTTAGTAAAAATAGTTTATTTGTTTTGGATTGTGATATTTTTAATTATAAAAACTAATTAAAAACAATAAAGCTCTTTTTTCTTTTCTTTTTATTGTTCCTGCTTTTTTTTGTTCTTTCTTTCTTTGTTAATTTAGCTCATCATTTTTTTTTCAACTTTTGCTTTTATTGTTAATTCATCTTATTATTTCATATTTTTTCTTCATTTTATCCTTCTAATTAACTATTTAATGATATATTTTTTCTTCATTATTTAAAAAGGTCTAATTAAATTGGTGCAATCGGTACATCAGGCTTAGGTTCTGCTTTAGCAAAGTGCATTAATCTCTCAAATTTGACACTTAACCTTGAGTAAAAACAATTTATTTGTTTTGGATTGTGATATTTTTAATTATAAAAACTAATTAAAAACAATAAAGCTCTTTTTTCTTTTTCTTTTTAATGTGCTTGCTTTTTTTTGTTTCTTTCTTTCTTTGTTAATTTAGCTCATCATTTTATTTTCAACTTTTGCTTTTATTGTTAATTAATCTTATTATTTCATATTTTTTCTTCATTTTATCCTTCTAATTAACTATTTAATGATATATTTTTTCTTCAATATTTAAAAAGTGAAAATTAAATTGGTGATGAAGGTGCATCAGGCTTAGGTTCTGCTTTAGCAAAGTGCATTAATCTCACAAATTTGACACTTAACCTTTGGTAAAAACAGTTTATTTGTTTTGGATTGTGATATTTTTAATTATAAAAACTAATTAAAAACAATAAAGCTCTTTTTTCTTTTTCTTTTAATTGTGCCTGCTTTTTTTTGTTCTTTCTTTCTTTCTTTCTTTCTTTCTTTGTTAATTTAGCTCATGATTTTATTTTCAACTTTTGCTTTTATTGTTAATTAATCTTATTATTTCATATTTTTTCTTCATTTTATCCTTCTAATTAACTATTTAATGATATATTTTTTATTCAATATTTAAAAAGTAAAAATTAAATTGGTGATAGAATAGAATAGAATACTCGCACATAAATATGCACTCAGAATACATCTTAAACAATTAGTTTTATAATAGTTATATTAAATGTGTTTATATTTTTATTTTTTGACTTACTCAGAATTTATTAGAAAAGTTAGGATAGACAAATAAAACCTCGACCCTCGACCCTCGTTAGGTTCTGCTTTAGCAAAGTGCATTAATCTCACAAATTTGACACTTGACCTTTAGTAAAAATAGTTTATTTGTTTTGGATTGTGATATTTTTAAATATAAAAACTAATTAAAAACAATAAAGCTCTTTTTTCTTTTTCTTTTAATTGTGCCTGCTTTTTTTTGTTCTTTCTTTCTTTGTTAATTTAGCTCATAATTTTATTTTCAACTTTTGCTTTTATTGTTAATTAATCTTATTATTTCATCTTTTTTCTTCATTTTTTCCTTCAAATTAACTATTTAATGATATATTTTTTCTTCAATATTTAAAAAGTAACAATTAAATTTGTGGTGAAGGTGCATCAGGCTTAGGTTCTGCTTTAGCAAAGTGCATTAATCTCTCAAATTTGACACTTATCCTTCGGTAAAAACAGTTTATTTGTTTTGGATTGTGATATTTTTAATTATAAAAACTAATTAAAAACAATAAAGCTCTTTTTTCTTTTTCTTTTAATTGTGCCTGCTGTTTTTTGTTCTTTTTTTCTTTGTTAATTTAGCTCAACATTTTATTTTCAACTTTTGCTTTTATTTTTAATTAATTTTACTATTTCATATTTTTTCTTCATTTTTTCCTTCTAATTAACTATTTAATGATATATTTTTTCTTCAATATTTAAAAAGTGAAAATTAAATTGGTGATGAAGGTGCATCAGACTTAGGTTCTGCTTTAGCAAAGTGCATTAATCTCACAAATTTGACACTTGACCTTTAGTAAAAATAGTTTATTTGTTTTGGATTGTGATATTTTTAATTATAAAAACTAATTAAAAACAATAAAGCTCTTTTTTCTTTTTCTTTTAATTGTACCTGCTTTTTTTTGTTCTTTCTTTCTTTCTTTCTTTCTTTCTTTCTTTCTTTTTTTGTTAATTTAGCTCAACATTTTATTTTCAACTTTTGCTTTTACTGTTAATTAATCTTATTATTTCATATTTTTTCTTCATTTTTTCCTTCTAATTAATTATTTAATGATATTTCTTTTCTTCAATATTTAAAAAGGTCTAATTAAATTGGTGATGAAGGTGCATCAGGCTTAGGTTCTGCTTTAGCAAAGTGCATTAATCTTTCAAATTTGAAACTTATCCTTGGGTAAAAACAGTTTATTTGTTTTGGATTGTGATATTTTTAATTATAAAAACTAATTAAAAACAATAAAGCTCTTTTTACTTTTTCTTTTAATTGTGCCTGCTTTTTTTTGTTCTTTCTTTCTTTCTTTCTTTCTTTCTTTGTTAATTTAGCTCAACATTTTATTTTCAAATTTTGCTTTTATTTTTAATTAATTTTACTATTTCATATTTTTTCTTCATTTTTTTTTTATAATTAACTATTTAATGATATATTTTTTCTTCAATATTTTAAAAGTTTTAGTAAAAAAGTTTACTTGTTTTGGATTGTGATATATTAAAAACTATTAAAAACAATAAAGCTCTTTGAATTTATTTGATAGCTTTTATATAATTTATTTTTTTATCTTTTTTATACCACTAACTCTATTTTATTAATTAATTTAACAAAAATTTTTAATTTAAAAGTTTATTTTATTTCGATATATATTAAAAATTTATTCAAATTTATTATAAAATTTTTAGGCGTTTGAATAGATCATCAAAACTCAAAGTAATAAGAAAGATTCATAAATCAAAAAGATTAGTTGTCTTTGAAATAAATTGATATTGATAAAAAAGTGACGAAAAAAGGATGAATAAATATTAAATGTTTGAATAATATAATATTTTATATTGAAAAAGTTTTTTTTAACCTAAAAGATAAACAGATAGATTTATAGATTTTATAATTGATTTTATATTTATTGATATCATTCATATTTTTATAAGTAAATAATTTATTTATAAAAAATAAAAAAATAAAAAATTTAATTTACTTAAATAAATTAATTTCTCTAAGCAACCCTATGGTTTCTCAAAAAGCGATCAAACAATTTGAATCTTTTAGTGTTATATTATTTCTTAATAAATTTTATAAATGCCAAGCTTTTATATTCCTGTTTTTTTTAATTTGAAATATTATCCATCAATCATATTTCCATACTTTTTTTATTTATCAAGATTGAATAGATACCATAATTTATATAAAACCTCAGGAAGAAATGAAATTTTACTTTTTATTTTAACTATTGTGGTTGGGGTCGGAGAAATAAAATATTTTTTTTACTTTTTTTCTGGGACAGACGTCACTTTTTTCTATATATCAATACCTAAAATAAACTCATTAAAAAATTCAATTTGATTCCTATTTTATTCTTTTTACTATAAAATTAGACTTAGATTTTAAGTATTAAATTTTGAAAACATTTGAATAATAAAAAAAATTGATTGAATTTTGATTGATCTTTTATTGCTTAAAAATATTTGGATAGTGATATATTTGTTTTTTGTTAATATTATTAAATAAAATATAAAGAATTAATTATAAATCAAATATTTTTTCAGAAAATATCATTTTTTTGATTGAATAGTTTTTATAAATAAATATCAACTATTTTTAAAGATAATATCATATCATATTTCGGTAAAGATATACCAAAAAAATAATGAAAATTTAAAAACAAAACAAGCAACATAAAATACAAATAGCTAAGTTTAGAACATATTAATAAAAAAGGTTACAAAAACTTAACAAATTTATTAAAAAGAGATACTGGAAAAAAAATATTTTAAAAAAGATGTGCTTATTGAAGTGTTAAAGAATAAATAAATAATTTAGAGTTATTCTTTTTATTTTTTTATCAGATTAATATATATCAATTTCTGACATATAATCTGTATTAGATTATTTGCGATAATTAAAAATAAATAAACATTTCTATCTATCAATTTTGCTAATTGCTTGAAAATATTTAAATACTCTAAGTTAAACTATTTCCTTCAAGTTAAAATTTATCAACATTTTATTTTAAAGCAAACGAAAAATGAATCAAAAATCAAAATTATTATATTAATTAACATTTCTTTCTTCAAAGTAAAATTTTAATAAAGAGTAATAACTAATATTTCATGTATTTTTAACTTGTAATTATATTTTTTAGATTTTATAATTTTAGAATGAGTTCTTGTTAGATTACTTCTGAATATTAATGTGGAGTGAAAACTTTTTAATCAATAATAACTTGGGAGAAATTGTCTGAAATTATTCGATTATTTCATTATTTGTAAGATTAATTAGTTAATATCAAAACTCTAAAAATAGGTGAGTAATATGAACTGAAATCAGGTCATTAATTTATTTATTTATTTATTATGAATGCTTTTATCAAACTACTTTGTTTTAAACAATCGATAATTTTTCTACAAATTAAACAAATATTAAAATATATATTTAGATAAACAAAAAAAATTACAAATATTTATTTCAATGATTTGGGCCACATATAATAAAAATAAACAAAATTTAGCAAAATTAAAAAATTTTAATGTAAAAAAATTATTTATTTTAGAAATTACAATAAATTAAATTATTAATTATAATTTTATTATAAAATATAAAAATCTATTTCTTAATAAGAGGCACAATAATTAGAGATATTATAAATATTCCAAAAATAAAATACAGAGCTAAACAGAAAAATCTACTTAAAAACATTATTTTTATAATATTTAAGAACATTAATTACTAGAATTTTTTCAAATATAACTAAATAAATAACTGACCATCTATAATTCCTAGTATATATATTTTTAAGTATATCTTTTAAATACAAATATTCAGTTTAAATAATGAATATTAAATAATTTTTCTGTGATATCTATCTCTTCATAAAACCAAATATATAAATTAATATTTGATAATTAATTAATTATTATATTTATTTGTTCTTTTTATCCATTTATAATTAATTAATTAAATTTCATAAATTGCTAAACAATATTTTTGAAAAAATAAATAAATGATGTAATAGATTAAAAGATATAATAGATTAGAAGAAGTAATTATTAATTTTTCTATTAATATCCTTTAAATTTATAAAAATTAATAAAAAAAGTTTATAAGCTCTTCTCTTTTATCTCATTAGATTCTCCATATTGATCTCAGGTATATTTTATTAATAAATATTATTTTTATTATTATTATTATTTTTATATTTAAATTTCTATTTATTTAAATAAATAATTTTTATTATAGAAATTATCATCATTATTTATTGATTTATTTTTTTTTTTCATTATTTGTTAATTTTATTAATTATTAATAAATCTTACTATTTCATATTTTTTCTTGATTTTTCCTTATAATTAACTAGAGTGAAATGCCTATTTAATTTATAAAAGGCAAAATATAATATTTCTTAATAACATAATAATAAAGCTAAATTAGCTTAAAATAGCTTTATTTTTGAGTTTTTAGAAAGCTTTAAATTCACAAAATGTAAAATTTAAAATAATATATACATACCGTATATTCTTAT